TCAGATAATGATATGGGAATAGAGTAAACAAGGTTTGCCAAAGGTGTGCTTGAACTGCTAATAACTAGAAGTGTTAGGTCAGAGTCATTTAATATGGAGACATAAGCCTTGGAAATGAAGAGGAGGAACAGAGTTATACAAGGGAAAGCTTAGTGCTGTTTTCAGAGGAATTACAACGAATTTATTAATTTCAGAAAACACACTGTATTCTTGTTTAAAATGACCTGCCACACATATCATTAATCCTCTATGCCCTTGTGTTATAAAACAGGTAAACGATGAGTTTACATGTGGCACTATGCAACAGGAGACAAAACAGAGGTGATTAACCTCAGACGACGGGGATACTACTTTAAACAAATTTCTTAATTTCTCTGGGCTTTTGGTCCCTTCATGAGAGCAGCATTTCGTAAGATTTTTGTGAGACTTAAGAACCTAGTACATTTTTTAAACCCCCAGACTTGTGCTTGGCTCCAAGTAAATACTACATAAATATCAGCTGCTGCTGCTGCTGCTGCTACTTCTTACAATCAGTTAGTAACAGGGAAAAACAAAGAAAACAGAGAGAGCAGAGTCCCAAAGCCACCGCCCAAAAAAGAAACCCTTAGAGAAGGCATCTTTTACTAAGGAAGTTAGTTTTCATTTCCTTGAAGTGTCCAATCTCTTTGGAGAAAGTGGTGCAAGCAGAGTACTGTGAGTTTTGTTATTAGAACTGAGACAAGGCCATCTCTGCCGTCTGCACCTCCCAGCCTCTGGGAGTGTGGGCGAGCAGAAGGGTGGCGAAGGCAATGAGCTGGAGAGCCACCAAGAACAACATGAACATCTAAATTGTGGCACTGTGCTCTGGAAAACTGGAATACAAGCTCCTGGAAGATTGTCTTGCCAGGAAAATCTCCTTTAAAACAGAGGCCATAGCCAACATGAAGACATCACCAGAAACAATTCTATTAACAAATGGGACAAAAGAGACAAACATCACTAGTCTCTCTCACAGCAAGCTTCATATCTGTAGGGGACTCCAAACAAAACTAACTTATTTTTCACTATTCTAAAATGTGTTATGGGGGGCTAGAGAGATGGCTCACACTGGCTGCTCTTCTAGAGGACCTGGGTTCAATTCCCAGCACCCACATGGCAGCACACAATTGTCTATAACTCCAGTTCCAGGGGATCTGACACCTTCACACCAATACACATAAAATAAGTAAGTTAAATACATTTTTTAAATATGTGTTATGTTCAGAAATATTAATGAAATGCCTTGAAACAAGTCAAGACATCAAAAGACTAGATGAAAATCTGCTATGTCAAGCTCTAGTTCACCAACTAATTCATATCCAAATGAACTAAAACAGTTAATAACTTATTTCTGGGGACTGGCAAGATGGGTCAGTAACTAAAAGCTCTTGCTGCTCTTTCAGGATTCAAGTTCAGTTTCCAGCAGGCAGATCAGGTGGCTGATAGTCACTATTCCAGCTCCAGGGGGAAAATCAGCCTCTTCTAGCCTTTGTAGGCACCCAAATACACACACATACACTCACACGATGAGAAATCAATTTTTAATCTTATTTCTGACAATACATATGATACTTATGAAAGATTTTAAGTTCTCTATGAAAAGAGTGAGAATCATGTCAAATATTTTAACATGAAGATTAAAGACACATTTTCTATATGACAAAATAAGCCATCAAAAGAATAAAGTGATGCTCTGAACAACCCTTTACAAAGATACTTCAACTAATCTGCTAATATCTGCTCTTTGCCAATTATTATTAGGCCAATCACAATACCCTCCATCTCGACAGGGTCAATGATGTCCTCCTAAGCAATGGTCATACCCACAGCAACTCTAGGTACTGAGGCTCAAGAAGACATTTTCTGAGAAAATTTCTGGCTCTAAAGAAAGTCATGAAAAGCCAAAGGCTTCTCCTCCTTCACCTGCAGTCATATTCAAGAAGGCAGGCTTCCAAGGTCTAGCGATAGCCATCTTGAAACCACAAGATATCTAAGCCTTTGAATGACAGAATCTGTAATTTCATAATAAGAGCTGATGACTCACCCAACGGCATTCCTCTTACACGGACTATCAAGTGTCCTTTCAGTCTTAGGGCCAGTTTTACATTTGTAAAAGCATCCTAATTTATAGGGCTTACTCTCCAAGTCCATCACAGTGATAGAACATACCCCATAGACAAGCCAAAATAAAACGCAAGAGTCCATCGCAGTGATAAAACATACCCCAGATAAGCCAAAATCCAACCCAGAGTCTATCACAGTGACAGAACATACCCCATAGACAAGCCAAAATCCAACCCAGAGTCTATCACAGTGACAGAACATACCCCATAGACAAGCCAAAATCCAACCCAGTCTTGTTAAAACAAACAAATTGACAGTTACAAAGAAATACTCTAATACTTTTCAAAGAACTTCCACATATTTTCCTTTTAATATTTAGCACTGAAAGAGGTAATTAATAAGATATTATAGAAACATCAAGCAATGTGGCATAAAATTTTACTTTTAGAGCTCAGTTATAGGAACTAAGATTTCTTAAGGCACAAAAGTTTATACCTTCTTGGAACTTAAATTATTCATCATGTTTAAATGATTTAAAGCATTACTGAAGGAAGAAAACGTAATGTTTTTGATGTGGTTGAATTCAAGCCAGATGGAGTGGCACACCCCAATCCCAGCACTTGAGAAGCTCAAGTATGAAGACCACAAGTCTGAGGCTGAGCTGCAGTAGTGAGGGAAAAAAAAAAACATTAAATCTTTAGAGTTTGGTGCCAGGCAGTAAGCTAAAGCTGACACTTGAGCTCAGTGATTCAGACTTTCATAGACTGAACACGTGGTACTAAGTTCAATCCCCAACACTGTCCAAACTGGGGAGGAGGGGGGGGGGCACAAAAGAAAACCTTGATGTGTTGACAATTCTCTGAGCCAGGGAGATGGTTCAGTGGGCAAAGTGCATGCATGCCTCACAAATGTTAAGACCTAAGTTCGGATCCCGAGGACCCGAGTTCAGTGAAGCAGTACACGTATGTAATCCCAGCACCAAGGGGAGACAGGAGGGAGACAGGGAAGTCCCCCAGAACTCCAGGTCCAGCTAGCCTGGTTTACACAGTAGCTGTGAACAACAGAGAAACCCCGTCTCAAACAAGGTAGAGGTAATGGCCAACACTTGAAATTCTCATCTGACCTCCACATAGACACCATGGCATGTGTGTACCGGCACTCACACACAGGAACACACACACACACACTAATATGCACATGCATCACATACACAAAGAATGGACTGACCAGCTTGAAGAGGAGCCAAATTTGTTTATCTTGTCCACTTATGATATTTCCAACTTTGCCAGACTGTCTAAAGTGCTAAAACTCAAGTGAAGATATCTCTGGAGAGCAGTCTGATTTTACAGCCGCAGCAAGGTGAGGTGGCAATAAAAGAAGCGAGTAACAGCTGGTCACCGGACTAACCAGTCACAGAAAGCAGAGGGGCGACAGGAGGAAGCAAGGACCAAACCACGGAGCCCTTACATGAAGGCCACAGATTAACACGTGCACAGACCAGTTGTTCCATGAAGTGCTTTTATAAGATGGCTTTGCAGCCTGAGGAACACTTGTTCAAAAGGAAAAAGCTCCCGTGCTTCCCGAAAGCATGCATCCTGTTGTAGAACACATCAGATGAGCGCCACTTCAGGCACCTTAGGTTAACAGCGTGGTGGCTCTTTTAAGGTTAACGCATACCATAAATACACTATCGACTGAAGTGGAGTCTGAAACACTAATGTTCGTGTGTGTGTGTGTGTGTGTGTGTGTGTGTGTGTGTGTGTGTGTGTGTGTGTGTGTGTTCAGCATAACATGCCCAAGCTGCACAGAGGATATGGCCATCCCTGGGGAGTACACAAATGAACGAACTCTACCACTCAGAGGACGATGACGATGATGATTTCTCTAATGGGAAGAGAGAACTTAGAACCTTAGGATTTCTTCTTGCTAACTGGCAAACTTGATCAGAGCTGTACTTCCAGCAGACCAGAAACGAAGCACACAGAAGATCTGGAGCCAAGAACGTGTGTGATTTCCTACCTAAAATTAGCCATGCCTATTTTACCACAGCTGGGCTGGGCTCCTCTATTTTAAGGTGTGCAGCGCCAAATGACTTAAGAGTATGTAATTGCTGACTAATCTTAGGACTAAGAGTGTCAGAGACTTCCCAACCCAGGCTTCAGGATGGCCAACTGGTCTCCACAAAACCCCAGTTAATGGCCTTGCCATCTAGGGGCGATGTATACTGCTAATGAGCCGTACATTAAAAACATGCATGAAGATATAGCATGCATAAAATAAACAAAAAGAGATGTTCCTTCGCCTTTGACTGATACTCCGCTCCCAAATACACACATAATACAGAAAGGCGATAAAAAAAAAAATGGACAAAAGTCACAATACGTTAAAGAGTAAGTGTTTGTTTTTCTGGAAAATTGTATAGAACCCACAACCAAAACCTTCCAAGTTATGTCACACATGTTTACTTCCCCAAGTTCTGTGCAACTGGAATAAATCCAACAGAAGGAGCTACTCAGCCTACACAGTATTCCAGAAACATCAGAAGGGACTGGGAAAGGCCCCGTTAGTACTAGCAAGAGAATTTACAGTATTTTTTTTTTTTTTTTAAGGAGCTGACTTTTCCAACACAGATGAAAGAAAATGAAAAGGCATGCCTTCTTACTATGAACAAGGGCAGTTTTGTCAACGGGGAGCAAAACTGAGCTGTAAGTTGAAATCCAAGCTGCACAGATAACAACCCTGATTCCTACAAGCTCAGAGCAAAGACCTCGCAACTATTTTATTACTAGCAATTTGAGAACCTGGAACAGACACCTGGTACTATCAGGTTCCTGACAGAATCATGCTCCAGCAGAACACAGTATTAACGCTTGTTTTGACACACTCGATTACATTTGGAAGTAAAAGAACACACATACCTTCATTTTCAGAGGCATGACACTTCACTTTCAATACCAAATCAAAAGTTCTTTCTGGATTTTCCCTAAAATAAAGAGAATCTTGTTATATTTACTTTGCACAGCAAACAAGCATTACCTATAAAACTTCTATACAATCATGTCTCTGTACACGTGGGCTTTTGTGGTACTAAGGCTCGAACCCAGAGTCTGTTCACTCTAAGGAAGAGCTCCATCCTCTGTAATTTACTGAATTCTAAATCTAGTCCTTTTCCTGCCTCAGTGGATTCGATGAGGCTCCATGACTGTGTAGCAGAAATATAAATGATAATGTTTTATCAGTTTGATAAGGGTTGAAGTTCAGACTTTGGAGCTCTGAATCTGAGGGCAAAGTATTTCATTCACCTCTGAGATTGCTTCCTCTCCTATAATGTACCGTCTACTTCACAGAGTAACTGTAAGGATTAGATATCAAATGAATAATGTGGAAGTTCGTTAGAGAGTAGTAGTTTTCATCTTATTGACTCAAAACTGGAAAGCCAGTGCATCTCTAAGTGTCTTCTCACACTGCCACAATGCTAACAGAGGCTCTCGGGCTTTCTCCAAAGAACCTGCCCTGAGTATAAAGGATGAAATCCTGATTCCACCTGCCATGTTCTAGAGACTATCACAGAAAAAAGCACCATGGATAGGATGTTTTGCACATGCTTTTCCTGAAATGTTATTTACTTAAGTATGTTCAAAGTAAGAAGCTGTTCACACACTCCAAGCTAACAAATCTTAACAAAAATTATTTTCTTTATACCATTTTCTTTAAGGAATTTGGACATTTTCCTCCTCGTTAAATCTTCCACCAAGAATAAAAAGTTTGTTTCAGGCCGGGCGTTGGTGGCGCACGCCTTTAATCCCAGCACTCGGGAGGCAGAGCCAGGCGGATCTCTGTGAGTTCGAGGCCAGCCTGGGCT